AGTTGGAAGTATCTTACTGTAAGTCAATGATGGCTTTGTATTTTTAAAAATCTTCATAATTGCTATTGGAAGGTTGACATTATATTTCATTTTATAACTGTTAAATGTGACATTCAATGAATTTAATGTTGCCACAAAATCTTTTTCTACTAAAACTCATTACTGTGTGTATTTTATTATACACATTACTGTGTGTATCTTTTTTGTGGGAATATTTATGAACTTTAGAATACCCTGAAAGCTAAATGGTTCATTCTGTTTCAGGTGGTGAGTTGTTTTTTATTGGAAGTTTCTAGAGAAAATGTGGGAACATGAAATCATTCTTCAGTATCTTTTGCATTTTTCAAAGAGCTTAGGCCGGACACAGTGGCTCACACCTGTAGTCCTAGCACTTTGGGAGGCCGAGGCAGGTGGATCACCTGAAGTCAGGAAGACCAGCCTGGCCAACATGGTGAAACCCGGCCTTTACTAAAAATTCAAAAATTAGCCAGGCACGGTGGCATGTGCCTGTAATCCCAGCTACTCAGGATGCTGAGGCAGCAGAATTGCTTGAACCTGGGAGGCGGAGGTTGCTGTGAGCCAATGCTGCGCCACTGTACTCCAGCCTGGGCGACAGAGCGAGACTCCATCTCAAAAAAAAAAAAAAAAAAAGAAGAGAAAGAGCTTAAACTGGGTGTGGTGCATGAGACAGACCATCTTTTGGATGAATGAAACATTTGTTTTAGGGGAATGTATCTTAGTCCAAGATACTGTAACATCAAGTCCTTGAAATGTGTATGACTCCTTGAGATCCATGTACCTAGCAGTCAGTCTTCTTTGTTTCATTGTGGGAGGATAGCTCAGCCATTGGCTTTATGACTCTGGAAAGGTGCCTGGCACGTGGGATTTTAAATTAATCTCCCAGAGTTTTACTTCCTCATTGATAAAATGGAATAGCTTTTATTGTTTGTTTGTCCCTCTAACTTCCCTGGATGAGTCTACAAAGCAAATTAGATGATCATATATTGTGAATGCTTTGTAAATAGAACATAAACTTATTGTTGCTTGGTTTCATCTCTTATTAAGGATTTTGCATGTATTAAGTTATTTTTATTATTTTCTCTTATCTGGGGCTCTCTTCATTTTATCTTTTTTTAGTTCTAGTGGAGAGCAGTGAAACTCTTAGCCTTGTTTTTTCTAGAACTTTGTTGATGGTCGTGTGACAAACACCTTACTGATAAATAGGCAGGAGAGGGTATTCTTAACTCTGGTAAAATCAATAGCATTTGATTTTTCTGCTACCACTGTTGAAGCAGCACAGTGTGGCAAAAGAAGATGACTTTTGCATTCCCATTCCTGTTTTTCTACTTTAATTTCTCTCAGCCTTTGTCAAATGGGGAGAAAACTTAGGGTGCTTCTGTGAATTAAACCTAATGTGATGGCTGGACGTGGTGGCTCAACACCTGTAATCCCAGCACTTTGAGAGGCCAAGCAAGGTGGGAGGATCACTTGAGCCTAGGAGTTTGAAACCAGCCTGGGCAACACAGGGAGATGCCATCTCTACAAAATATTTAAAAATTAGCCAGACATGGTGGTATGTACCTGTAACTACTCAGGAGACTGTGGTGGGAGGATTCCTTGAGCCCAGGAGGTTGAGGCTACAGTGAGCTGTGATTGTACCACTACACTCCAGCCTGAGTGACAGAGCAACACCCTGTCTCAAAAAAAAAAAAAAAAAAAAAAAAAAGCTAATGTGTACAAAGTAATTATCACTGTGGCTTGTAGAGGTAGTTGCTCAGAACATGATAATTTTTGTCATTGTCATAATTGAATGAGTTTTTTTGGAAACTGGAACTTTACTATTCTAATATGTTGTCAGCCAACTGCTAAAATATTTGGCTTATAAACTATTGTTCATCTTACAGAACAGATTACTAAAAATAGGAGTTCAAGGAAAAGATTCATAGTAGCTGATAGAATTTATTTAAGTACCATTGTCTGGTCGGCATGTCATCCTGCATTGATCCTCCAGTGATCTATCCTTAAAGAGTTATTGTTTTAAACTGGATATACTCCACTGCATTCATATTAATGCCACAATTAAGGGAAGAAATGGCGGGGTGGGGCGGGGCGGTAACTACCAGATAATAGAAAAATTCCACTTGTAAGTAATCCTTAATCCTCAGGATTTTTATAGCAGATGTTTGCGTTTTTTCCTACCCCACAGTACCCTGTGTACCTGCCATGCTGGTTCTGATGAATTTGCACCCTGGTGTCATAGAAACAGTGGAAATAAAAGATTAAAATAGAGCACATAATCATCAGGTTTTCTCTGGCAAATTGGAGCATGGTGCTGAGGCAATTATTCAGATAATTCAGACCCAAATCTGTTTCATGAAAATGGAACTGACATTTGTTGAACATTTACTATGTACCAAGCTCTATGCTAAACATTTAGTGTGTTATATTGAATAAGCTTTTAAAAAACCCTAAGGAATACCTGTATCATTGTCTTGATTTTATACTTGAGGATATTGACACAGAGGAAAGTTAAGTAACTTGCCCAAAATTACACGGTAAGTAACAGAAATGGGACCTCAACTTAACTTTGTCTGACACTGAAATCTGTGGGTTTTTTCTCTAACATCAGTCATACATTTGCCAGAGGTATTTGACATCTTACTTTTCAGCTTCAGAAGTAAATTCTTTACTAGTAGAATGAAATAAGATGCTACAAAAGGAATGTGTGAAGATAGTGTTTTCCTTTGTTGAAGAAACTTTGCTACTTTCAGTCAGAGAATGACAAGAGTGAGATATTACAGGAAAACCCGCTTGGCCAAGGTGTGCATGTGTGTGTACTCTGCAATTTTGACCTGAAAATAAGGCTAAAAGCTGACTAAAAGGTGTGAAAAATTAATTGCAGGTGTTCTAAATAAAACTATTAACATCTTCCTGGACCAAGGTTTGGAATTCCATCGAATTCAAGATTCAATTTTGAATCTTTGCCAGTGAGTCTTTCTCATATGTAATCTATATATTAATATCCACTGTAGCCTGAACCAGTGGGGACATCAGAGAGTGCCATTTGAATGCTCTTCCACAGGGCAGCTGTAACGTTCATGTACCAAACCTTATGTTCATCCAGCTTCTGGAAGCACGGCCTTCCAGAATGTTTCAAGACCAAATAGTAGACAAGCTGAAGCCTACTCTGAAAAAGTTCCTTGTTCTAGACTTCAAAGGTGTAGTTGTGTAGGCTTGTATATGCTCTGACCCCAGAAATATCAGAATGAGTAATTAATTTTCTCCTTTGGAGGATTTTTTAGATGTCTTGAAAGAATATTAAAGGAATTTTTGATCTTCAAGGCATATTAAAACGACTAAGACTTCAAAAATATTAATTGCTTTTATCCACAGGGAAGCGATCTGAGAGTGATAATTTTAGTAACACTGACTGCTATACCTAAGTGTCTTTTTGTAAAATCCTATTTGTGAAACTATGTTTAATTTTAGGAACGTGGTTTTTGAGCAGATATAGTAATAAGTACATTACTTTAAAAAGGAATGAGCAGTTCTGTCTGGTATTTTAATTGTATTAGCATCAACTCTATTTTTTAGTGGTGACTAGAATTGGAACAGCAGATATAGCAGATGATCCTGAAACTTCATTTTAGATAAAATTCTGAATCTCCCAAATTTTGTATCAGTCCATTTAGTGATCTGGTTATCATTCAGGTGAGTGCCTGAGGTGGGGTAGAAGGAAAGGTAATGGGAAGTGAAGACACCAGGGAGCTGTGCAGCCTGGCTGGGCAGTGACATTGAAGTCGCAGAGGAAGAGAAGATTGCAGGCAACTTCTGAGATGTGTTTTTTGTAAACCACCTCTACCATCTGTTTTCACTGAGGTAGCATAACAAAAACCTCTTAGGTTTATGTCATTAGTGTACTGCAAATATTTTACTTTAACAAATCAGTGATTTGTGCTGATGATTTGAAAACCCCTAGGTAAATTGATCACAGACTCTACTACGTTAGTTGACAGACTTGGCCATCCTCCTTTCTTAGCTGGACTAGTAGAGATGCTTCATAACCTTCCTGTTTAAAAACAATTGTGTGTGTTGTGGAGCATGGGGCGGGGGGCGGGGGCGGTGTTGGCAAGAAGCTGACTTTACTCTTTCTCCAACTCTGTGACCCCTGCCAGGCCCCAGAACTACGTGATCCTCCCCTGCTCCCATTTCCCTAACTCATGGGTTTTCAGTAGGAGCAGTATCACCCCCAAAGGGTGGAATTTTGTTTTTCATGGGGGTGGGTAGTGGGTAAACAGGTTACTTTGTATATGCATAAAACACAGATATATATATACACACACACACACATACATATATATACACACACACACACATCCGTGCTTTATACATACACATACATATACACATACACACAGAACACATGAACAAATAGACATCATATTTGTGGTATTAAAATGTCATGGGGTTAGGGGGAAATGTGTAAAAAGGCTCCTTAGGAAGATGATAGTTTTAAAAGCTTGAGAAACAGTACCTTAAGCACATCAGGTAAAGAAGAATGGGTGACACTGGAGTAGAGAGAAGGGTATGAAAAGGTTGGGTTAAAACAGCTTCAGCTTTGTTTAAAATTGGAGTAGTTCTCTCTGAGGGAAGGAGTAGCAGGAGCTGGGGTCTTGTGAATAGAAGGGTTTAGAACAACTTCTGTTGAAGTAGGGGTGGCAGGGAATCTCAGCCTCCCTGGCTAGTGGAAAATACTAAAGTTGGTAAAATCCGCCTCAGTGTTCTTCAGTGCTTTTGGCCTTTGCTCCCCGTCTCCTAATGGAAACTACATTTGGCTCTTTCTTTCCTTGCCCACCCCCACTCTCCCTCCTTTCTCTCACTGGTAACCATTTGTTTGCTTTCTTTCACTATAGACTCATTTGTTTTTTCTAGAATTTTATATAAATGGGACAATACAGTCTTCTTATTGTCTGTCAATACTGATGTACATATCCTTTTAGTTCCAGTTCAGACATCATAAGAGATCTTTTAGAAGAAGAGGAAGCCTGGGAAGCATCACATAAGTGAGTTCTCATAATCATGAAATAAACATGTACTTTGACCTGAGAAATTATACTTCTATGCAGCTGATTTTCAAACAATGATATTTGTGCTTTCTGGTTTAAAGGAGTAGTAATCCACGTGCAAGGTAAAGATTTTCGGTTTACTACTTGTTTCTATATATTTCTGCTAAGAAATGGAATCCCATATAACTGTAGTTATGTGTCAGAAATGGAATCCCATATAACTGTAGTTATGTGTCAGATGTTATTTCTGTATGGATAAATTGTTCCTATGGGCAATTAATACACTCATGTATCACTTAACAATGGGGATACATCCTCAGAAATGTGATTTCGTTATTGTGGGAACATTAGAGTATACTTACCTAGATGGTATAGCCCACCACACAGCTGGGCTCTAGGGTATATAGCATATTGCTCCTAGGCTACAAACCTGTACAGCGTGTTACAGTTAGGCATTTGTAATGCAACGGCACCTGTTAGTGTATCTAAACCTAGAAAAGGTACAGTAAAAACATGGTATTATAATCTTACGTAATTTCCACAATGCAGCTAGAGCCATCTTTTCAAAATGCAAATCTGATCACTGTTACTCATCCCTCTGCTCTAAAAGTCTTGAATGGCCTCTTGTTCGTTTTAGGTTCAAGAAGGGACTCTTTAATATGCCTAAAAGGTGCTAAATGATTGGATCTCTTTCTCCAGACTCGTCTCTTATTATTTACTTCATAATCATATTCTCGTCCTCTTGCATGAAAAGCTCTCTCCCACCACAGAGCCTTTGAACTTGTCCCTCTACCCAGAGTGTTCTTTATTTTTTCATCTAGTTTACACCCCTACTCACCAGCTCAGGTTCTTCCTGGATCCAGTTCTCCTACTGTAGGTGCTTATGGCACTGTGTGCATCTCTTTCCAGCACATTTGTATGATTGTTTGTTTGCCCATCACTCCTACTGGTCTATAAGTTAGGCATTTTAACCCCACTGTCAGCATGAGCCTAACTCATCGTAAATACATGTGTGATCTCATTTAAATATAGCACTATTATATACTGTTATCCCTGTTTTACAGTGAGGAAACTGAGGCTAAAAGGGGTAAGTCTCCAGCCCAAGGTCATATAGCAATAAGTAATAAGTGATGGAGATGAGATTCTAACCTAATTGTCAAAAGTCAGCATCCTCAACTATTAAACTCTACTATCTTTCCAGAGGAGGAGAGGTTTGCTGTGCAGTTGACATTTTGTCGTTTCGTAGCTGAATCACTAGGAGAGTGGAAAAGTATGGTGTATCCAGGGGATACATGGGTTTATTTTGAAATATTTGGTGGTTCAAGCAGTAGCATTTTATGTAAGTTTGAGATTTTGGCTGCATTACTGTCTCTCACCTAAGCATTATTTAACTTGAGTTCTGGAAGAGGAGGCAACTCCTTAGCTAACTACTTTCCTCTTGTACCTCTTCACGTTGAACTAACCCTGACACTAGTGACTATGATGAGCCCAGAGTTCCTGAGCCCAAGCCTGTTCTTGATAATGATGATTTCTTAAAGTCATTACTACCAGAAAGCACTTAGAAAACAAATTCCATCATTTCACTTCTTAAAGCGAGAAAGATACAAGAGCTTGTCTAGCCCCACCCATTTGTTTTATAGAGAAGGAAGCTGGGCTCCAGAGAGGTAAACGGACCCTTGGTCAAGGTCCGAGGACTAGTTAGTGATACCACCAGGATCAGAATCCAGGCCTCCTGATTTCAGCAGAATATAGAATAAACAGCCTCAGTTCCTTCTAAGGAAGAACTTAGGTTGTGATGTAGTTTTAAAAGCAGAATCAGGAAAAGCCTCCAGAGCTTTACTTTTCAACAAAATGTTGCAGTTCTACAGATGCCCATCTTAAGCTTATAGGCATTTTTTTTGTAGTACCACAAGTGGCATATTTGAGATATTAGTCCTGGAACATACCATATCAGTTCCAACACATTCTCTTAATTCCACAAATGATTTAGAGGTTTCGTTAGCAACACATGGCTCCATATAAAGCAGTGTTTTCGTAAGCAGCAGGAAACTTATTTTCTACAAACTGGTCTTGGAGTCTTATATCTACACTTTGTATTCTTTTATGAGATGATCAGTCAGGTGTGGCCACAAGAAGAGACACAGGAGAGGCTCAGGAAAACAAGTTTCATTATACTCACAGGTCCTAGAGACAGGACATGGCACACCATGCATGTCCACAAGGGAAAGACACTAGCGTGGTCAGGAGGCAGAAGACAGGAACAAGGGTAGCGCTTTAGGCTAGATCCCTGATTGGGGTTTTCTCAGGAAAGGCAAGGCAGGGTGGGGTGAACAGTGCAGGCCTGGCTAGTTCGAATAATTTCAGTGGCTCCAAGCTATAGGAGTGGTCCCTAGTTACCTAGAACCTGGCCCTGGCATGATTAAGTCAGAGGACTATTGCCTCTTAGGGTGTTGGGGCCAGATAGAGGAGGTGTGACTCTGGATTGGTTAGTTTGCATGTCACAGCCATACTCCTGGCTGGGCCCGTTGCTTTCTCTGAGAATTGACCAGCCTCTCCTGATGCCAGCAGAGGCAGTCTCTCCCCAGCTAGAAAGGCTGTATTATGATGTCAAAACATCATAATATATAGGAAACACACACACAGAATTTTTACTTAGCCTGTCTGATAGTTCCCTGGAAGACTCTACTTGCAAGACTATCTTTACTTTACCTGACTTGGAGCTTGCTCAAAAAAGGCTTCGAAAAGCCTTTTTTCTAAAGATGTTTGTTGAAAGCAATTAGAGGCATTTGACTAGCTTTGCAGCTGTCTGAGGTGGTAGATAACAGTGGGGGCAAATGATGTGCTAACCAAAAAGCAACAACAACAAGCTACAAGATATATTTACATTGAACAGAATGAAAGTAGGAAGAAAATGGTCCTGGTGTTACTTCACATTTTGGGGTCTCAGTTTCTTTACACATAAATGTGGGTAAAATATATATGCTTCAGTGAGTCTAAGCCCTTTGCTCCAGATCTGCTCCTCCTCCGGTGTCCCCTCTTCTCAGTGAATGGTAGGATCATAGTCTTCCCCACTGTTCAAGGCAGAACCTAGCAATTATTTTAAACTTCTCACTCTCCCTTACCACTTACCCGCAGTCACTTGCAAAGTCCTACAGATACGTGGCTCTCAGACTTAAAATCACCTGGAGGACTTGTTAGACTACAGATTAGTGAACTCCACCCCTAGATATTCTGATTCAGTAGCTTTAGGAAGGGGCTTAATGATTGGCATTTTAACAAGCTCCTAGGTATAGCTGGGGCTGCCTCTGTACTGTCTCAGTCTCTTTGTGCCACTGCTTACTCCTGCAGGTCCTTTACTTTCCAGCTTGCAGCAACCGCCGTCCAGCTGTCTCTCTGCCTCGGTCTATTACTAGTTCATTTTGCCAGTGAAATGTAACATACAGGTGTTTTCCCCCTTAGACTTTAAAGTAGCTCTCCACCATCCAAGGCTTTTCATGTTCTGGCCCCAGCCTACCTGGCTGGCTCATGGAATTTTATTCCCTCACTTCCCCACCCCACGACTGTGGCTTCAGCCAAGCTGCCAAGCTGAACCACTCGCAGTTGCCTCATGAGTTATGCTGCCCTGCCCCTGGCCTTTGTACATGCTGCTGCTTCTGTCCAAATTGCCCTTTCCCCTTTCTTCATCTAGATAGCAATTGACATGCCTTTCTTCATACTCTGTTCAGAAGCCCCTGATTTTGCTCCAGCAGCACTCTCACCCTTTCTAGTGAGTAAGTACACTGGATTTTAAATCCCTAGCACCTAGCACCATGCCTGGGCAGCCCAGCATAGGCACTCAATAAATATGTGAATGAATGAATGTGTCTGGCAGTCAGTCAGTCAATCAGTGTTTATGGGATCTGAATGTATTCACTAGTAGATTCTATGTTCTTACTTGGCTTCAAGAACCTGTGAATGAATAAGGATCGCCACTGTAAACTAAAAATAAAATTTTAAACCATCAGCTGACTGAACAGACTCCCCTGTTGGCCAAGGGGACCCATAGAAACCTTAAAAACAGTCCCTGGCCATGACAGCACAGGAGATCAGACATGCCTCATCATACCTCCTCCCTTTTGCAGTGTAGACATAACAACTGGCCAACATTAATGTTAGAATAGAGATCATAGGACTGACAGAACATATTTTTTTGTGGCAATAAAATACCAAATTATAGACAGGAGCTAAGGCTATTATACCTGCTCCCTTTTGCAGTGTAGACATAACAACTGGCCAACATTAATGTTAGAATAGAGATCGTAGGACTGACAGAACATATTTTTTTGTGACAATAAAATACCAAATTATAGACAGGACCTAAGGCCATGTGAAGCAAGGGTTAAGTAAATCACCCTACACTTAAAGAGTAATTATGTTCTAATTGCTACAAGGCTTTTCTTTTTTTCTAGCAGCTAAACAAGCACTGGCCTTGAGATAAACAATGTTAAAACAATTGTAGCACATCTACTGCCGGAAGCTGACTAACTGACCCTCTGTTCCACAAGCTATAACTATATAGCATTGGTTTGACAAGAGACTGATTTCAGTAACTTTCTTCTGATAAGAGACCACTGATCATGGACTGGTTCTGGCCAGTTTTATAGTGGCTGAGCAGTTGGGTGCCTTTGTGTCCTAAAAAGACCTTTTGACATATATGGCCTAATTGTAATGTATCTAAATATTAAGTCTCCACCCCAGAATGAACATGGGTTGTGTGTAACATGCATGCATGCATTAGGACATGCATTAGAACCCCCCTTTATGAATAATCATAGCTCCTCCTGTAACCTGTTGAATATGTGTGTTTGGTCCACACATTTACCATAAATCCCTTTTCCCTCTTCCTCTCCCTTACAGTACCTGTCTTTTGGGCTCTGCCGGAGTTAACACTTCTCAGCCTTGTCGGAGTGGTCACCTTACAGGCTGTAATTGTTTATAAGAAATAAAGGCTCCTTTCCAAATTTGTAAATTTGATTTTTAAGCTAACACCACTTAAAAACCTTGCTAACTCTTTGTGTCTATCTCATAGTGCCTTTAAAATAAAATTTTAGAAAATAACTTTCTCTAATCTTATAAAATCGGAAAAGGAAGAATTATTTTCTCTATTAATAGTCTACATTTCATCTTAAACCCATGAGAAGTTGTTTGCATGCACTTATGAGCCTGTCATGTTTGTTAAATGATACAATTACTGTAATTGAAAGTACTTGCAGCAGGAAAACAGTGAATCTCATGTTTAAAAAAATGAATAAAAGGAAACTCAGGCCTGTTTACAGTGGTCCTTGATCTGACCACTCTCTCTATGATCAACATGAGGCAAGGAGAGCCACACACCAGGAGATTTTTTCTATGGACCTACCAAGAAGGAAAGTAGGTCATCCTGGAAATAATGTGTATTGGAAGCAGGTTAATAATGAATGGCTGGCTCTCCTAAGGCATGTTTTTGCATTCAATAGATTCAGTACTTTAACAGTAGATAGATTCAGTACTTTAACGGTAGATGCCTCACTGTGGCCCTCCCCAGGAATATCCTCTCATCTGGCTAACATGCTATTGTCAAATTTTACTAAAAGAAATTCATTAGTAATACCTGCTGGAGACCAAGAATTTTAAAACCTGCTGCACCTGTGAGATCTTACTAAGTGTTATTCCAGTAAGTCAATGCGTTACATGCATGGAAAAAAATATGGGTTGGGTTATTCTATTAGGATTCTTGCACCTTAGGGGAGGAGGTGTTTTAGAGAGTGTTCTGGGAGTACCACTGAAATACTCCTTGCCAGGAACTCCCCTCCTAAGGAAGTGGAAGAAGTATAGATGACTTCCGCTACCTCAATAGCTGTGTCTGTTGCCAGCTATCATAAAGGCAAATCAAAGAGGGGAAACATGGAAAGAAAATATTACTGAAAAATGTTAAAGGATTATTAAAAACAAAGTATGAGAATAAAGAGCAATAAAATAGAAGTTAAAAGTAAGGAGGAACATCCCACTAAATTTTAAGCCTTAAAAATAATCAGAAGTCAAATAAGTAAATGATAATAAAACATTAAGATAAAAAATTTGACATGGTGAAAGTTGAGAGATTTTTAAGAACATAAACTAAAACATGAAAAAAAGTAAAAATGATAAGAGTGATAGCAAAAATGGTGGAAAGTCTCTGCTCCATAAATGCAGTAATAAAACTGCAAAAATTGTCGGATTCAACTTTTCGGAAAACTCTGAACATTAACCAAAGGCAGCAGCACTTTAGGGGGCATTTATTCAAGAAAATGTCTGAATCTCAGTGAGAACAGTGAGTTTTGTGGTGATTCATCTGGTTTTGTTCTCATCCTTCTCTCTCTAGTTCCTCTGTGGCCTTGGGAGCCAACAGTCTGCAATCATGGTGAGGACCAGCAGGCTGACAGCCTGCAAAGAAGGCAGAGTAGGGTTGGAGCCCCTTTAAAGCCACATTCCTGGAGAATTTTTACTTAGCCTATCTAATGGTTCCCTGGAAGACTCTACTTGCCAAGACTATCTTTACTTTACCTGACTTGGAGCTTGCTCACTTCAAAAAGCCTTTTCTCTAAGGGTATTTGTTGAATGCAGTTAGAGATGTTTGGCTAGCTTTGTAGCTGTCTGAGGTGGTACATAACAATTGGGGCAAATGATATGCTAACCAAAAAGCCTAATAGTAAAAGCTGAAAAGTAAGATTTCCATGGGGGTTTTGAACAGCTGTAAAATATTACTGGGAATCTAGAGGGTCACTCTCATTCATAGAGCTTCTGTGCATGCTTAGGATAGACCTAAGGAAGCACTAAGCTTTCACCCCTGGTTAACCATGAGGCTGTGTGCAAGCAGGAAGTAGAGGCTAAGGCAGAGTTGTCCACTGAGTGTTGAGTGAATGTTGATTGCATGCCCCAGCACGCACACAGAGCCCCTCAGCAAAGACTGATTTTGCTAAGAGTTTCTGAATGATACTGGTTTCAGAGGTCTAAGGAACTGTTCAATCATTAGTGGACTACAAAGCTAATCAAGCAGACACTTTTAGTTGCCATACACAACGAAGAATACGTATTTATAGGATTGGTTTAGAAACGTCACTAAACAATAATAGCAAACAGCAACAACAACAAATCCTGGAGAGATCTTATTGGTTGGTTGTTTATTTTTGGTATTTATCATGATTGGGGTTCTTTGACCAACTTTGATCTTGATTTGATGTGTTTCAAATTTTTAGAAAATCCACAGCCATTTGTATTTACATACTTATTTTCCACAGTTCTTTCTCTCCTTTCTTCCAGGCATTCCAGTTACACACATATTATGCCATTTTTATTGTCTCACAGCTCTGGCTGCTCTATTCTATGTGCACACCCTCACCCACTCCTTTTTCTCTTTGTATCTTAATCTGGATGGTTTTTATTGACATATCTTCAAGTTCACTAAGTCTTTTTATCAACTTTATGTATTACACTTAAAGCCTATTGAAGGAATTTCCATCTCAAAATGGGTTTTTTTCCTTGCATTATTGTGTATCATACTTTTTGAATGCTGGGCCATACAGTGAAGGACCATAGGGACTGAGGTCAATAGTGTTTGTGCCTAGAAATGGGCATCCTTCTATTGGGTCATTAGTGTTGGGAGTTGAGCCAGGTAATTCAGAGTTGACCTGGGTTGGAGTTTCCTAGTGACTAATGTGACCTTCAGTGCATCCACTTCAAGTTACTCTAGCAGATGTCTGCTTTGACTTCTGCTTAGTGTTGGGGCTGGATTGCCAGAGGGTTTGTCTCACTGATTTTACTCCCATTTTCCTTTCCGTCATGCTTACTTGCCTGCACCCCATAGGGGCATATCTTCACCATGTTCGTATCTCTCCCTCAGCCATTTCCTGCTCCTGCTTATTGCTTGGTGCTACGCTCATGGTGGGAAACAGCCAGGGTTCAGTGTTATCTCAGTCCAGCCTGAGTCTTAGGTAGGCCCTGTGAGCTTAGGGATGGGCCTTTCTCAGCACTTCTGCCTCCTCCCATGGTATGAGGCTACCTTGACCAAACCTCTGCTTGGTGTCAGTGTAAGGTCATCAGCTGGAGATGATTTTCTGCCCCTCCTGTAAGGTAGAGGTTTTAGTTTCTACATTTCCCCTGCCGCAGTGAATCTTTGCCTGCGTCCCTGCAAATGAGGTCATATGCCTCCCCTTGAGGCAGACTGATTTCACCTCTATTCCTTCTCCAGAGGCCATGGGTCTTTGCCAGAGCCACAGGGTGAGTTTCCTATGTTTCCCTCAGCAATTGAAAAGCTTATGCTTCATGAGAGAGAAACATTCAAAAAAGCAGGCAGGACTTCTTCTTGTCCCCAGTAGCCACTGAAGTGGCCCCTCTCCATTCTCCTGCCCTGCTCCCAGTCTTCTTGTGAGCGCCTGACGGAGGCTCGTGGAAAAGAGCTGGCAAGTGTGTGCAGACTCTCCTTGTGTCAGTGGCCCGCAGTACTAGCCTGTACTTAAGAAATTAGGAAAATCTTAGCTGATTCTTCTTCCCTGTTTGTATGGTAGCCACCTCGTTCTCCAACACTCTGCCAAAAGTGAGAGACGTGCGGCCCATCTTTGGAGGGGCATATTTTTCTTTGGAATTTTGCTTTCTTAGTTCCTTTACAACCTCAGGTCTCTGAAGGATCAAGAAGAGTTAAGATTTTGTTAGACTGCCTGGCTTTTTCTTGTTAGGATGGGAGCAGCTTTTTGTTTACCTTTTCTTTTCCAGTCCTCTACATGCTAAACAGAAGCATAAAACTCCTAAATTTTAATTCAGCAAAAGGGACTATCTGTAATCCTTGCTAATTCACTAATTCATAAAGTGGAAATACTAATAATAACAATTATGAATTCATCCACAGAATAGAGGGTTATTTCGAGGTTTTAATGAAATAATACCTGTGGAAACACTTGTAAACTAGAAACTGCTGTAGAATAATAATCATTACTTTCTAAGATGCCATTTCTTTTTTCTGTCTTCAGAAACGATCTTCAAGACACAGAAATAAGTCCAAGACAGAATCGCCGCACAAGAGCTGCTGAAAGTGCTGAGATTGAACCAAGAAACAAGCGTAATAGGAATTAGTGTGGGCTTTTGCTGACTTTTCAAATGCAGTGATTAGAATAAGGTACTTTTGGTTGCCACAGACAGATTTCCTGTTTATAAATGCCCAAGGAAAGATGCTAAATTCTAAATATTATGGTTAGCTGATGTTCATTCTTTTCTGCTTTTCCAGAGGGGAAAAATATTACAAAGTATCTGTACTTGGTCAGTTGCCTCCTTCCTCTAAAACATCTCTATCTAAAAATGCTGACATTTTACACAAGCACCAGCTTTGCAGAGTAGGCAGACTCTTTGGCACTTTGGCAGAGGGATTTGGTTTGGTTTGGTATGGTTTGGTTTGATATCTAAATTTCAGAATGTCCTTAGGCCATTCTCCTTCTCTTCCCTGGAGAATCCAACCTCACAAAAGGATTCTTTCAACCTCTTTATTACAAGAAACAGTTGAGTTAAATGTTTATGTTTTTGGAAAGGCAGGATGTCAGTTCACATCCTTGGTGTGTGTAAGTACCAATGCAGGCCACCACCATGCCTGTGGTACAGCAGCTCCATGATGGTTGTTGCCCGAGGTTAATGTAGTTGTTTGTTAGACCTGTGTCTTACACATTTCTCAGAGTAAGATATTAGTATTATAATTTAAAGCCACAACAGTCAGAAAGTCACAATAACTTAGAAACATTGCACATATTCTTCTGAAATAGCACTTAAAAATGATTAGTGTATCTTTTCACTTGGGTCAATCAAATCTGTAACACTGAATCCAAACTATTAAACAAAAAAAATATGCAATGAATGAATTTTGTAAATGAATAGAGTGTATCAGTTTACAATAATGTTCTTAAAACAGGATCCTCTGGATAGCTGAGTATGGGTTAGAAATCATTGAAATGGATTGGTCAGAAATTGCTATCTGCGTGTAAAATGTCTACCAGTAGCCAGATGCTTCCGGAGTTCATAATGCCTCTCTGGCATTTCAGAGCCAGCATTCCCCAACTCCCACCCCTCTGCCACCACCCAACCCAAACACATCATCTTTCAAATGAGATGACAGCAAATGCAGCAATGTTAAGACAAGAAATTTGTAATTTGCCAGGTTCAACATTTATGACCTCCCCATTCCAAAGACTGTCTCTGTTGACCTTGGCTTTTTGATGTGCTTTGGGGTTTCTGATAATGTGCAGAGTCTCATTATGGCTGAGAGTTTAGTGTTTTCACAGTGAAGTCCAGACATTTGATTTCTTTATGAGTTCCTTGTGTTAGAAATGACTATAGAAAAATTTGTCATAATAATTTCATTTGCTTGAAATCCTTAATGGTGCATTAAGGAAACTAAAAGCACCACTTACCAAATCCATCAGCAGAACTGATGTGAGGTAAGTGAGCATGTCAAACAAAATAGGGGCTCACATGAATATATTTATGTCACTGAGTTGTCAGAAATTATGTCAAAATGAAAACTGCTTGTTTCATGACAAATTACACAGTCTGTAAATTAAACTGGAAGTAATTACTACTTTAATTGCAGCAAAAGGAGTTTGTGAGGGAGTGGTGAGACCCAAGACTGGGAAAGCAGGCACATGAGTTCATTCAGCAAATATTTAGTTATCTACGTAGTTATATATCTGTCACTGTACTGACACTGGGAATACAAAGGTGGCCAAAGATGAGCTAGAACAGTGGTTCCCAGTGGGGTGGGCAGAAAGATTTTGCCCCCCAGGAGATAGCTGGCAATGTGTGGAGACACTTTTGGAGGTGGAGGGTGGTGAGGGGTACTACCAGTATCAATGGGTGGAGGCCAGGGATGGTGCTAAACATCCAACCCTCACGTGTTAGTTTGCCAGGGCTGGCATCACAAAATACTACAGACTGGGAAGCTTAAACAACAATTCTGGAGGCTGGAAGTCCAAGATCAGTAGGGTTTCTTCTTCGGCCTCTCTCCTTGGCTTCCAGACAGTGGCCTTCTTCCGGTGTCCTTGCATGGTGTTTTCTCTTTGTGCACATGACTGTGCAGGACTGGTGTCCTGATTTCTTATAGGGACAGCAGTCATTGGATCCGGGCCCATGCATATGGCCTCATTTTACTTTAGTTACCTCTTTTTTAGGTAGAGGACCCTATCTCTCAATACCGTCACATTCTGAGATACTGACAGTTAAGACTTCCAACATATTTAGTGGCAGGGGTTGGGGGGCACACTTTAGCCCAAAACACTCCACAGTAAAGAACTATCCAGTCTAAAATATCAGTTGTGCCAAGATTGAGAAACCTGTAATGTAAAGGAACTCCCAAGTCTACCTGAAAAATAAGGTCTAAAGAGCTTTTGTTGAGCACTATCTGTTAGCACTTAGCATATGTTTAATATTCATACATTGAAAGAAATGTATGTTTATATCCATCTGACAAAGATTAAGGAACTTAGAGTAAGTGGTAGATCCAGAATTGAAACTGATAAACTTCTGGTTCTAAAATTCACCTTTTGTGAAAATACAGTTCTCACCAAACTTACAGTAATTCACTGGTTATTAACTCTTTCTACCTCCTCACTCCCCTCAAAGTTATAACATCTCCCATCAACGTCAGCTCAGAATGGCAGTGATGCTTATGGTTTGTGGGGGTGCGGGTGAGCTGCTGGATGCATTTTAGATGGCCTAGTATGCCAAGCCATCCTTTCATCCTCTACACTCGTCTTTTTTTCGACCTAATGAAAGAATTCATACACGTAAGACCATGTACATAATATAGGGAGGTTCGCCTTTAAAAACAAAATCGTATGGTAAAGACTGATATGTCAACAGGGATAGACAAAATAGAGAAGGCTAGAACTGGGGGAAAAAAACCCAGAAACAGTGAATTTCAAACTTCTTCGCATCCGATAAAAGAAAGTAGCAGTGATTCAAATGAGAAACACTTCTGTTATGTACATATTATAAAAGTATGAACATAAGAGGGAAAACCACAACCATTACATTTTTTTTTACCATTTCAATAATTTTTTTTTGGTTTTTAGTCTGTTTTTTAGACATCTTTAAGAACAACTATCTGAGGCTGTAAACAAGTATTTATATTAACACCCATGATACTGATTTTATGCTCCCTACCTGCACTGAGACCTTAAAGGGGGCATTTCTCCATTCCTTCTGTGTATTTCTGGGTATCCCCAGGTTCAGATATTCAGAATACAGATACAAGTCCATGCTTGCATATGTTGCTGCTCCCCTGACAGACTTCTACCAGCATCTGCCCTCCTTACTGCTGCTCTGTCACGTGCACTGCGGCTGGTCCTGCTGGAAAGTCCTACCTTGCCTAGGACGCCATCCCCGATACAGCCCCAACATGCAAACCTGCCAAGTGCTAGGGCAGCCCTGCCTTCCTGTCCATTTCAGTCTCCTGGCCTTGCTGTGTTCCAAGTGGAAATGGGAGTGTGCTTTGCTGGTTTACTAGCGTACTTACTGTCACCCGGACCACAGCGTCCTGTGCAAAAATTTGCTTCTTCTCTCTTCCCCTTTCACTCTTTCTTCTTTCTCTCCCCCCACCCTTTTTTTTTTCTTCTTTCCCCTTACCTTTCTTTCCTTTCTTCTCTTCCTCTCCTTCCTTCCTTCAACTATTAGGACTATATGTCAAGTAATATGCAAAACAAAGACAGGTCCTGCCCTGATGAAGCTTGTAGACCAGAAGGGAAGATGAGCATTAAGTAATTATATAGATTAATGTACAACTGTGATGAGTGCAACAAAAGAGAGGTTCATGGCACTATCAAACATGCAGTGGAGGGATTTAGTTTTTGCCTGTAAACTCTTGCCATAGAAAGCTTGAAAATCAGTCCAGGGGACAGTGTTAATCACCATATTCTTTCCTTATCCTTGTCTCCCCCAAAATTCATGTGTTGAAACTTAACAAGAGGTGGGAACTTTAGGATGTGATTAAGTTGTGAGGGCAGAGCCCTTATAGATGGGGTCACGGTCCTTCTAAAAGGGGTTGAGGGAGTGGTTTTGTTTCCTTCCATCCCTTCTGCCACACGAGGACACAGTCTTCGTTCCCTCTGGAGGACTCAGCAACAACGCACCATCTTGGAAGTAGAGAGCGGTCTTCACCAGACGCTGAATCTGGAATCTGCCAGTGCCTTGATCTTGGACTTCCCAGCCTCCATACCTGTGAGAAATAAATTTATATTGTCTATAAATTACCCAGTCTGTGGTATTTTCTTCTGGCAGCACGAATGGACACCCAGAAACTGATGTGTGCATCTTCTGACTCCTTTGGTTCTAAAATACAAAATATTAGAGTAAAATTATGGAAGTCAGCTCATGCTAGTAAGTGCCTGTGTGTCTGCCAACTTCCCAATAGTATCAAGAGAAGCTGGACAAGTCAGAATTTCGTATCACCTATCCAGGATCACCTCCATAAACACACACACACACACACACACAGTGCTTTAATTTGTCACAGATAGATTCCACAGTGCATTATCAATTCTATTTAATGATTATATAACAATCCATCCGGATCGTGTGCCATTTTGCACAGACATTCTACTCTTGGACATTTAGGTTACTTCCAGTTTTTTCCAATTACAAATAATTTAGAAGGCATCATGGTGCGTATAGTTTTTTCCATGTATATGATTACTTCCTTAGATTATATTCTCGGAACTAGAATTATTGGAACCTTAGCTTTTAATAAAATATATGGCCAGGTTTTCAAAACGGGATACCAAAGTATTCTGAAGGAGTTTTTTTCTCTGGGTCTTAATGGGTTTTAAGAATCACATTGGAGCTCATCAGTGTCAATGTCACAGCAAATGCAAAGCTTTCATTTAACTATCAAAGCTGAGAGTCCAAAATTGAAAGGGACTAAAACAAAACAATTCTATGGAATTATAAACAAACAAAGACCAACAATACTTTTCGTGTTCTAATGTAATAGAAAGTTAGATAGGTTCTAATTATCCCTAGTTTCAAATTAGAGATATACAATAGGTTGTGTATCCTTAATTTGAAAATCTGAAATCGGAAATGCTCTGAAATTGGAAACTTTTTGAGTGCTGACATGACATTCAAACCCTCACTGGAGCATTTTGGATTTCAGATTTTTTGGATTAGGGATGCTTAACTGGTAAGTATGATGCAAATATTCCAAAATGCATAATCTGAAACACTTCTGGTCCCAAGCATTTTAGATAAGGGATACTCAACTTGTATTTAAGATCTTTCAGGGGAATGGCTAAGAAATAACTTCTATAGTATTTCACACCCGGTCCTTGGATAGCAGCTGGATACATTTTCTGGCAAGATTCTAGAGCTGCTCTTACTCTAGTGCTCTCCAAAGAAGCCAGCTGGTTTGGTGTCAAATGAATAGACGGCAAGGCTGACGTTCTATTGTAAATGTCTTTTCTTGAATGGGAGTCAGGTAGGCAGCAAGCAGGGAATTTTTTTGGTCCCCATAATATAACTTCGGAATTACAAGCACATAGTTGAAACCCCAGGATTCCACATGATGTTTATTTCCATTTGGGTCACGTAAGAACTGCATCACGGTCTTAAAAGAATTGTATCATATCTTTTATGTAATAGCTGATTTTGAACAGCACTGACTTTCTCATGCCTAATAAGTCTTCACTGCAAAATGCACTTTCTAGGGAACATTACTGAATGAGCTATTTTAATATAACTATTTGAATGTTAAAGACTATCATCTACTGAAAACATTTTGGCAACATAAGTAATGAATTTCTGAAAGCATGACATCTACATAGAATTATTTGTTTCCTACTTGCAATACATGGTATTGTGTTACTTAGGTTAAAAACCTAAAGAAGGGGGTGGGGCTAAGAGAACCATTATGGTAGCATAATGTAAGGCCCAAATCTGATTGTCGAGAGACTATTCTTACCCACTTTGTCACAGTTTTGTAGAATACAGTCTTCATAGAAGCATATTTGTCTAGATGTATTTTGGGACCATTGCTGATTTCTATCCAGAAAGGGAAAATAGTTGAATAAATGCTAAAAGTCATAACCTGGTCAATTCAGGGCTGTTTTTTTTTTTTTTTTTTTTTTCCCAAAGTAAAAGAATATCGTAGTGATGAACTGTGGGATGGTTCTGTTTTAAACTAGCTCAGCTTGTCCTTCATGCAAGATACATTCAGAGATCCAGATTTCTCTTTGTTAAGTTGTGATGGGCCAAACTACTTACTAAAGGGTGCTCTTTAGTAAGAATGGAATGGAACCCCGAAGAAAGGAGTGGTATACAAAAAGCAGTGGTGAGTAAATACGTTGGTAAACACAGTGGTAAGTTTTAAGTAAATATAGATTTGGGGATGGGGAGTGGAGAGTGGTTAAAACAAGGTGGAAATAAAATAGTAGATAATCATGTGAGACATGGAAGATCAGAATATCAAGGTATTCTGAGGCTCTTGGTATTAGTATTGTTTGGGAGGCATCGACCTACTTTGAACTCTTAAGACTCCATTTTAAGGTTTTAAAGGCAACTCTTAGTGAACACCTGTTTCCAGAAAATGGGTTT